GGAATTACATAAGTCCTTATGCTGTTTTCTTGATCCGGATCTGTTTTTATTCGTGAACAGTAAAAGAAATCAAGAACAGGAAGTTTGATTACATCATGTTTTACTCGGACTTTTCTTCGAGAACATGATGGAAACAGTTTTTGAGGTTGTCATCAGCCCCATGATTCGTTTAGGATCTCACAATCTTTATTCTTCACAATAATTTTCTATCTTGGATGAAGTTTTCTATTCCGCTTCATCTACTTCTCAATTATGACTCGATATATAACGGGCATTTGATCTCAAAATAAAGGTGAGAGTAGGTGATGTTGTATGGTTCGTATGTGAATATTACCAATAAGGTAACGTTTGGCGCATGTGAAAAAACATTCACGCTTGAACTTTCAGAGAATGTATACCTGTAGATATTATCGCGAAGATCAGTTCCTTATTGTTACAGATTTATACGGATGGCGTTGGGGTGACTGTTATGCTTCTGCACAATTTGAAGGTATCTTATTACCAGCCCTTCTTGAAGATTTTCTCAAAAAACAACAACAATATTCTGGTGGTAAAGAAAATGTAGTTCGATGGTTGGAAGATCTGGAGCAGCAATTTAGCACAGTCAACTGGCCTAATGATATGAAATTAAAATATATTGCACGTTTTCTTAAAGATGAAGCACGGTAATGGTACATCCAAAATTCATCGCATATTTCGTCATGGTCAGCATTTAAAAAAGAATTTATTACAGTACATTCATCTACATATTATGTAACACAATCATTTCAATGTTTGCAGCAATATTCTCAAGCAATTAATCAAAGTGTGTTACAATATCACACATAAGTATTACAGTTATGTCAAGTTGCAAACGCTGATATGGATGAAAGAACAAAAGTACAATATCTTATGGCAAATTTATTACCATCTCTCAAAATGAAAGTTATTTCAAAAGATCCTCAAACAACCGATCAATTTTTGCAAATAGCAAGAAAAGTTGAAGATCTTCAAGCATTAGTAAACCAAGACGAAAGGATGAATAATTACTCAAATGATTCAATAGGAACAACTTCAAATGTTAATTTTTCTTCTGCTCCTTATGTAGCTCCACCACTCAGAAATAATAACCATCAAAAGCAACAATATACTCAACAACAGCAGCCCCGTTCACAATTAGAAGCTGCTACCACGAATATACCAATCACTGACTCAGTTCTTCTCTCTCAACAGGTAGTTTCACCTTCTACTCGACAACAATCAAACACAGATGAGTCTTCAACTCGGAAAAATTCAAATAATCTTTCATCCAATTTACAAAATTATCAATACCATCAACAACCATCATCAAATCGAAATCGCCGA